AAAATCTATTTTGTGGTCCCATTAGCTTAATTAAGATTTTAACTTGATATTTGTATTAACTATGACTTGTTTACTAGTATATATTAATTGTGGACCATTTGAAGTTCCTTTAGAAACTTGGTAATTAAATTAGCATGATTTAATTAGAGTTCTACTTTGTTGTTCTAATAAACTAATTGAGTTTTAAAATGGATATAGGTGATGACCATGCCATGTTCTTTAATATGTATTAATATGAGATTATTTAGAATTGAATTAGAATCTAAGGAATTTAATTATTTTTACTTAATGAAATTCTATCGAATTGAGCCATGGATTTAATTGTGTTTGAAAGTCGTTTCTATATTAATATCCTGGATATGGACTTGTTGTATATTCATTTGGTTATGTTTTGAGCATTGGATAACATAGTTGCCATGTTTATACTCATGAGAATATGTTTTCCTTATTGAATATATTGTTGCCTTGTGTAATGATTTGCACATTTCGTATTTAACATCATTCATGCATAGCGTGTAATCGCACACTGAAGATTCGACATTCATCACATCATATTAATTGTGGACTTAGAGCATGTATTGTATAGGTTTCCAAATTTGGTTGTGCTGGGTAGATAGTTGATTATTTTGAATATTCCTGTTGATATATGCATTGTTGCACAACTTGTTGAGTTTGAAAACTTGGGGATGTCGTTGTTTGACAATGGCTAGGACGTGGTTCTAGTACAGGGGATAGTCCCTCTATATATAGTCTAGTGCGCACATAGGGAGGTTACCCATGGGCTAGTAACCCTAAAGTAACTATGTTGTCGGTCTGATCCGACGTGACGTCCGAGTATCCACTTTGTTTGATTTCGCATTTCATTTTCAAGTTGATAACTAGATGATGTTGTAACTTGTTGTTCCTTATTTGTCGTTCCATTTTAAGTTACAGGATGTTAACTTTGCGAAATTGTGCTTTATGTGTTGTATTGGAAGTTCCAATGTTGGTTAAATTGCATCGATATTGAAAATCGTGTTTTGACGTTCTAATAAAGCTTAAGATTGATCCTATTGATTCATTTATAACATAGACGCTAGGTGGCATGAACCAATACTGTTATTTTGTGCTTTAGATTCTAAGTTGATGGCTTTGAAAACTTAAACCTTGTTGCATTGTATAACATGCTCTTTTGTTGTTGAATTGGATGGATAATGTGATTCTTGTTAACTTGTATTCAAATATGCTTTTGTCATGTTGTATGGATTACTCTAGACCTAGTTCAATTGTATTGAAAATGCAATTCATGTTAATCTATGCTCAAGCATTCTTCTTGTCATGTTCTTTGGATTATCCCAACCATGATTCGTTTCATACACGTATGTATATCATGATTCTTGTTGCTTAGACTCTAAGGTAGCTTAGGATGCTCCCCGAGTCTCACTTGGACATAGACGTTAGGTGGCATGAGTCCCTTTAACATGTGTTCACCTTAAGGTGATAAATTTGTAAAATGTTAGGTCGATGCATGTTCATCTCCTACGAGTAGCTTTATATTACTCACCCCTACGATACTGGGGCATATTTCAGGTACGAAGACTTGGTTCGTGATGCCTAGCATTCCTTGGATGTCGTGTAACTTTCAAGTTTCCATTTCACGCAAATGTTAGCATGAAATGTCATTTGTAGACTTATATGTCAAAATATGTATATCTGATTCCATGTATGTAATGTGTACTTAAGTACACTCCTTTCAATGTATTTGATATTTATGAGATGAGGTCGGAGGCCAATGACCATCATATTGTGTTCTATATACTTTTTAACTTCATGAAATATTGTGAAAATCTTGAAAAATCGCAAGCCATTGCTTCACCATAGTTGCATCGGGTGTGGGAATTCCATTTTCATTCTTTCATAGGGTCTTATTAATCTTGTATGAAGTGTGGCCAAGGGCCAAATGGTCATTTGACTCCATTTTACATTTTTGGATTCCATATTTTCCATTCCAAGTCCATTTTTGCCTTTTTGCCCGTTGGGGGGTCGGATTTTGCATCGGCTATATTTTTAAGTCGTGGATCATTGTACCACGTCCAAATAGGTAAGTTACGTTTGTGTGCATGGTCGTTTCTGGGTAAAACCTTATCGTTTGTGTTTTGAGCCTCTTGTGAATTCATGTCGCACTTTTTTTGTATATTCTGATCTAGGGGCATTATAGACTTTTTACGGTGGTTTTATTTTCTTCTTTCAACATAGTTGAATAGAAAACATGATTTTAGGGGTGATTTCTTTTTCGTATTTTTCCAGAAAATGTCGTCTTGATATCGGAAATCGCTTACGAAGTCCAGCTCTCAATTTTTCAAAATAGCAGCTTTTTGGACCTCCATGACCAGATTTCACGGAGGGGCATTTCAAGCATTTTACATTGCGTTTTTTTTTTTAATTCTTTCATGGTTCATGTAGAAAACTTAATTTTGAAGGGGGTTTCTTCTTTGTATTTTTGCAAAAAAAAATTCATCTAGGCCTCCAAATTCTACCTCTGTTCTGGATTTTTCTGAAAAATGACCCCATAGCAGCTTTATGGGTTGCTGCTGCCAGCCATGGTGCACCCAGCGTGCGCGCGGCATGCATGGGCATGCGCATAGGCGCGCATGGGGGCTATCATGGCCCCCTCATCGGGCCGCCGCGACGTCAATTCTTCTTTTGGGCTTTTCTCCTTCGTCTGGACTCCGATTCAAGTTAATTTTTTTTCTAACTTAACAAATTTTTCGCTGTCTTTTCAACGGTGTGCTCGGTTGCACCCGGATAATTACCAATTTACCCTTTTGCCTTAAGTGCTCGTTTTTCTTCGTTATGCCGTTTCTCCTTCATCCGGACTCCGAATCACGCGATTCTTGAGTCCATCTTGATTAGTTTTTCATTTTCCTTCCAGCGGTGTGGTCGGTGGCACCCGAATCTACAGTTTTTAAAAATGACTATTTTACCCCTAGGGACTTATTTGTCATATTTTTAATCTTTTGCTTCCGCATCAGTTCTTGTTAAGTTCCACGACCTCATGGAAGGTCACTTTGACTTCTTAGAGTCTTGTTTTCTATTTTCGCTTCCGCATTCGGATCCGTTATCGGATCATCCTTACGGTTCATCACAGGACACGCTGCCTAAAAACCAGGGTCGTCACACGTCGCATCCGGCCTAGTTAGCCTAATCCCTAGTCATCTCTAGACTACACTAACACCACGGACCACTAGGCGCTTCCTAGGCATTCGGGTTTTCACAAATACTATTCCAAAAACTTTTTTCCCAAAAGCAATTTCATTTGTTTTTAAAAAAAACCTTTCCCTTTTACTTTTCCCAATGAATGCATGAATGCTTCATGCTTCCGAATGCCAAATTCAACAATAAAATTTTACATGCTCTTCTACATCATCATCATTTTATTATTATTATTATTATTATTATTATTATTATTATTATTATATATATGTATATTTTTTTGATAGAAAATTCCATACGATTATTTCACAACCACAACATCAATTTCCATAGCGATTGGGAATTCACGAGTCATACAATATACCAAAATTAGACATGCTTCTTCACAATAATGTAAATAGCCATGTATATAATCCAATTAGCATGTAAAACACATTTGTCATTTTGAACACACATAACCACAATAGCAATGGACAAGATAATTAAAATTAAGCATGCTTAAGGTCAAATTAAAGAGAAAAATTCACAAATATCCAAGAAGTCATGGATTAGAACACCCTTACCTCAATTTTGTAAAAAAACCCTCAAATTTGTCGAATCCAAACCCTAGAATTCGAAATTCTTAGGGTGCACCAAAGCCACTTTTGCTCCGATCAAATCGAAGATCTCGACGCGCTCTTTAATTTACCGCAAACGACATCTAAAAACTCCAAATGGTGAGGGAGATATCAAGGTTTGAATTTTTAAAGCAAAAGGAAAAAGAAAAATCTAAAAAGAGAATGAGAGAGAGACAGTTACAGGAGAGGAAAAGAAGTGAGACCTAAATGACTTCTTAGCCTTTAAAAGAGGTGGTGGCTCCCACCACCAAAAACATTTTTTTTTCTTTATTCATTTTCCTTTTATTTTCACTACACAATTAATGTGTGTTGAATTTGTAATTTGAATTGATAAATCATGCTTTGAATTTGTGAATTGCACTACACTTAGTTTAATTGTCATTAGGTAGTTGATTCATGCTCGATATTGATGGTTTACACTTTTCATTATAATTGTTAGCCACATATAAATTATATAGTATTATTTCCCCAATTAGTTGAAAGTTAGTGAGTTAGGGAATATATTTAGTGGTGAATTTTACACCCTAAATCTCTTTCCAATCTCTTAAACTCTATTTCTTTATTGCAATCATTTAGTTTAAAATTAGTTTTAATCACAAACAAAACCCTTTTTAGCAATCACATAAGCACTAAAGTAGAATTCAATTCCGAAAACCAATAATTGTTTAGATCTCTTGGGACGATCCCTACTCGCTTTATATTCCATAGTATAAGTGTTTAGTGGTTTTATACATTATAAAATATGATGCCCACTTGACATTATTTCTAAACCTAAAGTGATGTGTATTATTTTGTGCACACGCTCGGTCGCATCACCTGTAGTGACTAATGCAGACCAGAATTCAAGTATAAAGCAGAAATGGACCTGTGAGTACACCTTTGACATTGAAAGGGCAAACCCTAAATAACGAGTTGGGACCAACAATGCGGACTGACATTGCTCACTTTTTAAAAGTAAGAGGCCATGCGCACAAAACCTATAATATAAGGTGAATGCATGTCTGCACTTAACCCTAAAATAAAATCATCAAGACACGTGTTTCTGTTAGTAGTACCTCAGTAGCTAGGCCTTGAACCAAATACAATCAAGCAGTTAAACAACAACTTCCCCTTTTATTGAACATCTATATGATATTTCATACCTTATTCTTAATTATGGACATTTACACCAGTCTAATATATAATAAACATATAATATGACCAACGGGCAAGTGCATGGCTTAGCGATATCAGTCTCTTACTTCTTAAATGGAGATCAGGGGTTCAAGTCTCAGAAGAGACAAATGTGTGTGAGTACCAACTAAGAGAGAGAGAGAGAGAAAAAAAAAAAAAAAAAAAAAAACATGCTTAACCAAACAGTACTGATAAAATATTTCTTCACCATCAAGGATAAACCTCAATGAGAGACCTTAATCCTAGTATGGGGGTTATCTTATAGTCACTGAAACCAGCATCAAAGAATAGCTTTGCCCATTCTTTCTCGTTCCTCTCTCTACCGGTGACAAGAACCATCATCAGCATGTCGAAGAAGAGCTGAGTTTCTATAGATTCATCATCTCCTTCCTCATTTTCCACCTTCATGTCTATGATAATCACCTTTCCTCCCTTGTCCCTGCTCGGAATTGCTTCTTTGCATCTTTTCAGAATCTTCACACTCTCTTCGTCGCTCCAATCATGCAATATCCACTGCTTATCATTTGCACTCATATTATCAGTAGCATAAACTTTTCAAAATCATGATTGAAAATGTGAAAAACTACTTAAATAATTAACCAAGCTTTAAATGAACAAGTAACCAAATTAATTAATTAAAGCCGCCTTCATTTGGATTAATTATTGTATAGAACAAGTAACTATCATAGGCTCATAGCTTCTGTTTTTTTTTTCAACATGTGATATACTATAAATTTCCTATGAATGAAACAGCTAGTAATATTTTATTATGTCACTAGCTTATGCTTGAATAATTTCACAATATTTGTGGCCAGATGTATTTTATCAGAAATTATAAAGAAAAAAGAGTGCATATGTTTATGTGACTATTTGACATTTCTGGCTGTTAATTTGACTTAAACTCTAACAACCCTCCTCCCTGAAAAATGATAAATAAAAAAAAAAAAAAAATTTTGAAGTTGGTACTATATTTAGAATAGTTTAAAATGATATTGATATAATTCAATTTCCGGTTAGGGGTCAAGGGTTCAAACTTCAATCTACCTTCTCAAGACTTTATCAGAGCATCAATTAACCTAAAGAAAAAATTAAACCCAACAATAAAACTGAGAAATTTAAGATTGTCCTGGACTTGATCAAAATTCTCCAACTAAAAACGTAGACTAATAAGCGTTTAATAATATTACACACACAAAAAAGCCTGAATTTTAAGAACTTCCGATAATTTCTCCATCTATGAAGGTTATATGCACAATTGTGTGCAAGTAAATATGTATGTATATACACACACACACATACATATTTACTTGCACACAATTGTGCGCAACTATGTGACTTTTGCTAAAGCTATTTTACCAAAGTGATAGGTGAGCCTTAAGTCCCATAAAGCCGCACAACAAATATGTGAGTGTGCAAGGAAAAAATATATATATGTGTGTGTGTGTTTTATATTTTTAATATTTGATAAAGGTTATGATTTTCAGGATAACAAATATGATTCTATATATTTTAGTAATTAGTAATACATGTCAATTTTTACATTATGACAATTAAATTATGAAAAAGCAAAGTTAAAAGTGAAGTGCCACTAGACATATATTACAGATCATATATATATATATAGAAACTACTTCCCTCTTCCTTCACAAAACTAGAGTAAATCACAAAGAAAACTCGATATATAAAACCCATGGATTGGCCTACTTAGAAAAGAATTGTAGCCGCCTTGCACGATTAGAGTTTCAGGATCAATTCTTTTTAAGTGCAAATTAATAATTTTTTAAGGTTCACGTTTACAGACATAGTCCGATCTTTATCTGATCCGTGTGAGGGCACCTTGCATGGTCCCTGAATTAGTCATGACAAAATCTGGACACCTGGATTATGATAAAATAAAAAATAAAAAAAAACCCTCCATATATACCTTTAAGAGAACAGCATCAGCAGGAGGAATTGCCTCAAACATGTCACCACCAAAATAGTTCAAGTTCTTAGTCCCTTGCAAGCCAGCAACCACATGAGGTAGATCAAGCACAGTGCACTGCAAGTGTGGGAACCCAACCGCGATGGCTTTCGCCACAGTCCCTGTGCCACCCCCAACATCAACCATTGATTTCAACCCCTCAAAAACACCCTTACAATCTTTAACAACCACACTAGTGACCAACTTTGCATCACTAGCCATAGCATCATTGAAGAAATGGTTCAGCTTTGGTTCATGGCCCGCGTAGTCCCAAAAGGTCCTGCCATGAGCCGTGTCAAACGGCGTGGGATCACCATTTTGGAACCACTGGCTCACATGATGCCATGGCTTTGTCAAAATAGGATCAAGCATGGCTAACAAAAATGGTCTCACACTCAATGGCTCGTCCTTGAGGAGGAGACGAGAAGCCGGTGTGAGCAAATAACCATCTTCTTCTTTGTTTTCGGATACTTTTTGCTTGACAAAGAAGCCGGAATGAACTAGAATACGCATGAGGCGATAGACAGAGAATGTTTTGGCCTGGTTGATGTTGAGCACTGAAACAAGCTCGGAGAGAGTCATGGGTTGTCCATGGTTGTGGATGATGTCTGGTATGCCTAGTTGAATTGCACATTTTAGTGACATAGAGTTTATGAAGTTGAATATGTGGTTCCATATGTGAGCTTGAGAATGGAGAAGCTCTTTATCAAGCTCATCATTGGTCATATCCATCTTATAAACTAAGTTGTCTAATGTTTTGTGTGAAACTCTTAAAACATTGATATATATATATAGAGAGAAGTGTGTCACAAGTACTAGCAAGCATTAACAGAAATAAAATAATAATAATAATAATAATATAGCATACACTTTCAATTATATATAAGATAGAGGAAAAGGATAACAATAAGCAAGCAAATGGTCAAAAATTGAGATATCATACTCTTTAAATTATATATAAAATTAAGTGAGGACAAGATAACAATAATTGAGCAAATTGTCCATTCAATTTGTATATTTTAACGTCCACATTATTCACATCCAGCTAATAATTAATTGTATTATTTTCTATATATTCTAATACAACAAAAGTTATTTATTTTTTTATATGAACATTATTTTGGGATTGCATGTTGTGGGTCACGAGCATGGACTCTACGCACTACGTGTATCAGATTCGGATCCGTTCTCATGGATCACATACCTCATTTGACTATGAAACAATTATATATTTTCACGTATATATATCCTCACAAATAGTTTAGATGACTATAATATAACTTTAAAGTGAAGATCATTTTAGTTCAGAAGAGATTTTGCGAGTGATCACAGTTAAAAAGATGAAGTGAATCACTATATAAAGGATGAATTAAAAGCACATTAAAAATGATCGAGACTCTTCAGAATGTTGACATGTTAATTAAAAATGTTTACACTAATTGTTAGATACTAGCACTTAACACTAATATCAAAATTTGACTTGGTCAGTTGAATCAGTCAGTGCATGCTCATGCAAATATCACTAATTGTCTTAAATTCCTACCGTACCTAGTAACAAAATTTCCCCAATGATATGTGAATTATATTTTTTAGGAAATATTTCGTTTGTCGTTTAAGTTTTAAAGGCACGATAAAATACGTCAATTTTTTTAAACGTTTTGATACATAGTTTGATTTGTTTTAAAGATCGATGGTCAACTATTTTTATTTTCTTGTGCAAATCTAATTCTATATTTTTCTCAAATATAATTTTTTTTTTTTTTTGGCTGCTTAATTCTTTAATTAAGTAATTATATATATATAACATATATACACACACTTTGTGAAACATATATATACACACTTTGTGGAACATATATATACACACGCTTTAAATAGAGACATATATATAGGTTAAGGTTATCAAGAAAATATGGAAAAAAAGAGGGCAAATTTTTATATATTTTTAGATTAATATAGTTGATTATTTGAATTAGAATTTTTGTATTAATTTTAATTGTGATGAATGTTTGGCGTCATACTCATTGATTAATTATATTTAATTAGTTTATTTATGTGAGATATAAATTTTGTAATTGGCAGTTTTTGGTAACAAAAAAGTCCTAGTTAAGTTGTAATTACAAGTTACCATATCAAGATTGACATCGATTGCGGAATTGGAAGGTTGTTCAAATATGCCATAACTGAGATCATCAAGAATGGAAAGAATAACACTTTAGGAAGAGATCTAAGATGGTTAGGATACTTGGCATATTTTCAGAACCAAAATAGTGTTTTCCAAGTTTCAGCCTTCAGGATACAAGATTGGTCATCTTGAACTGGTTTGAGAAGTTTAGATCCGGTTCAAGGCATTCAAAGCTTGCTTCGAAAATCCATTGACCATCTTGAAACGATACTTCAGCCTTCCTTGAACCAGTTTAAGGCTTCAGACATATTTTGGTAACTTCTGTTTCCTATTCTGATTTTCTTTCCTAATTGGTTTAGAATTGTACAAAGTCCTGTGCACGAAATTTCCTATATTTTCTAAAGGATTAGGTCTTTGAAAATTCTATATAAACCCTAATAGTCATCTAGGTTTATAATGGCTTTTACAGCACAACTTCATTATTCATAAAAGCCTTAGGAAAATTATTTTTATAGAAAATCCAAGTTGATTTCTCTGTCATTGTTTCTAAAACATACACATAAACACAAGTAGTGACGGACCCAGAAAATTTTATGAGGGGGAGCGGTCTTTTAATTTTTAAGGGCAAATTTATATAGTAGGTCTATTTTTATAATTTCAATGGAGTTTTCTTCATAATTTTTTTAAAATTTAAAGTAAAATACAAAAATAAAATAAAAAATCAGTGGGGACGAATTGTTATATTAATGGGGGCATCTTCAAAAATTCTCAAAAATTTGAACTATAAAATGCAAAAAAAAAAATAAATAAATAAAAAAAAAAAAAATCTAGTAGGATGAATTATAATTTTAGTGGAGGCATCTTTATAAATTCTAAAAAATTCGAAGTATAAAATGAAAATATAAAAAATCTAGTGGGGGCATCCGCCCCTACTGGTCCTATGCTAGGACTATGCGTGAACACAAGAGCGAGTTTAGAGTGTTGTTCAAATCCTGATCGTGATCAAAGTCTTGCATCTATAACGATTAGAGAAATGCAAATCGATCTACTTCTACATCGAATTTAGATATTGAAAAATAGAAGTAAAAGCGATCACACTTTGAAAGGGTCAAAGCATTCAAGGAGTGTTGTTTGATCTACCTGTTATCCTTCTACAAAGATCAAGCATAAACCTTAGGTCAACTTACTTTTAAACGGGACGTCGCAAAGCCAAAGGATTGTCAGCTATTGGTATTTGGTAGAATGATACGGTGTAAGCCAGAATCAAAGTTCAGCGTACTTTGTTTCATACATAGTGGATCAGTTTACTTTGGACTACACAGTCCATGAGGTTTTTTCCGCGCAAACAGTTGATCTATTTTATCAACTGGGGTTTCCTCGCTAAAAATCCCGGTGTCATCTCTAACTCTTATTTTGCCTTATTTTATCTTGCATGTTACTAATTATTTAATTGCTAAAATGAGTAAAGATAAGAAACACACAGATCTGTTTCTAAAAATACAAAACTTTCTAAATATTCCGTTGCGTACAACTCACAAATTACTATCATAACCAATCTCTACACATTGAGTTAATTATTGTGGAAAGTTTTGATTGATTTTAAAATTTTGTTTTTAAGGTACATACGAGATTACTTTAAAACAAGATTCCAAAAGAATGGGATGTATGTTTAATTGTATAAAAAATATAATTTCACGAGTTTAAAAAATTTCATCGTCTCTTATGCATTGAAAGAATGTGATTCTAATCAACGTGATCCTTTATTTGAAGGAAACAGTTATAATTTTTGAAAATCAAAGATGAGAGTTTATTTACAAAATTCAGGAGGTAAAACTTATGCTATTGTTGAATCTGGCTATACACCACCTATGGAAGATAAAACGATGGATGGAAAAATAGAAAAAGTTTTAAAAGATTCCTTTGCTTTTACTACTATTAAAACTGAGAGTAATGATGCTAATGGAAAAACTTTATTTGCAATTATAAATTATGTTGTTCCATCTGAATATGCTAAAAAATTTTTATTGTAAGACTGCTAAAGATGATTGGGATATTTTGCAAGTTACTCATGAAGAAACTTCAAAAGTAAAGTTATCCAAAATTCAGATGCTTTCTCATAACTTTGGGAACATCGTAATGAAAGAAGATGAATCATTTTCTGATTTTTATTCTAGTCTTCTTGAAATTATTTCTAAACGGTGTGATACACCTCGACTCCGAGACATGGATTGATCAGGCCCAAGCCCAAGCCCAAACCCGAGGGATATCAAACAATTAAGTAATAAACAAGCAATTGAATACAAAAAAAATAACTAAGAATAAATAAAATAGCAGAAAGAAACAAAATTATAAATCCTTGAATCCATAATAATTAATTCTCTACAATAATTATCCAAAACCTCAGATATCATTACAACTCGGGAATCCATCTAGTGGACCCCTAAATAATATCCTAAAACAAAACATCTTATATAAAAAAAATTCAAAACTAAAACATGACGAAGAATCCTACATAGTTGGAAGAATGAATAACTATCTCTGCTCAGTACGAACAGTCTCTATCCCTGGAGTTGTCTGACACTTGAAAAATAATAATGGATCAGGCCCACTAATCGGTTGGTCAATCATACATCAACCTTCGCAATAGCACGAATCATTATAAAATAGGGCTATTGGTCGGGTAAGTCGAACCACTGGGACTGCGCTAGTCTAAGGCAACCTAAATGTCTAGAATCGTTCTTAGAATGATGAAGGGGAAATAAGGAGTTGTTTGTTTGTCACTAAATTGAATATGTGAAGTGCATGAAATAGAAACTTGCAATAATTGAAGCGAGATAAGATACAAGTAAGAAAAACTAAGGAAGTGAATCCGTCTCTATCCCTATACACATGCTAGGCTAAATTTAAATTCGGGAAATCAACATAAACGATGGTCATGATACATAACAACCCTTGGTTGCTATAATATCCTCAAGAGGTTCATTGAATCAAAAACAAGAATAATCCATCAAAGAAATACATGCTTAAACTACCTAAACTAGGGTGTAGTCTTCAACATGCTCCCTAAGCCAAAGATTATCAAGCCCTTAATTGAATGATAAAAGCACATAAAGTTAGGAATCAAGAATAGACCATCAAAGGGGGAACCTAAGCAATGGACTATCAAATTTCACCAACTTCATGCCATTAAAACTATTCCATGATCTCACTACCATTGTCACCATGAGAGTGCAAGCACTATGATTAAAAGAATAAACCATCTAAGATAGATAATTAATTCAACAATAATCATTAAAATACATGAAGATCCATTACAAGAAGCAAAATGCTCTAGACCATGAAAGACCATAGGTTATACATTGCAATCCCAAAATAAAATCTACACTAGAACATGCTTACAAGGGAGGGACTTCATCACCTCCCTAGAGAAAGAGTTAGTTAAGAAGGAAGAAGCTCCATCTTCATGGCCATTTTCGTGCAACCTTCTTGGAGCTTGAAGAACACACCTCTTTTGCTCTCTTCTCTCTCCTCTAATCTTGTAGCAAAAATAGGATAATGTTTTGTGTGGTCCTTCCTCTCTCTTATCAAGCTCAAGTCAAGGCTCTCT